CATGATATTGATGAGCCACTTATAATTAGAAACAGACATAGTAAAATTGGTAAGGTACTGAATTGAAGTAATTTTTATAACTAAGGGCTTGTTTGGTTGACATAATAAAACATGGCACCAAACGGCAAAACAACATGAGTTTTATGTATAACGTAATGGAATTAAATTGATTAAGATTGCATGAAGTAAGGATTATTATAGTATAAAATTCATGCAAAACGACATGATATTGATGAGCCACTTATAATTAGAAACGGACATAGTAAAATTGGTAAGGTACTGAATTGAAGTAATTTTTATAACTAAGGGCTTGTTTGGTTGACATAATAAAACATGGCACCAAACGGCAAAACGACATGAGTTTTATGTATAACGTAATGGAATTAAATTGATTAAGATTGCATGAATTAAGGATTATTATAGTATAAAATTCATGCAAAACGACATGATATTAATAACGTAATGGAATTAAATTGATAAAGATTTCATGAATTAATAGATTATTATAGTATAAAATTCATGGAATACTATAATAAGTTACAGGAACTAAATGATAAATGACAAAATGGGATGGGGGGAAAGCCGACAAGCATTTCTGTACAAACTGAAAGGAAGTAACAAAGTTGGCTAGCAAGTCGTTGTTTGAAGGGAGTCCACAGATTTGAAAGGCCATCATGCTCCTAAACCTCAAGTGGTTGTTGCAAAAGACCTTCTCTTTTGCTTTGTTTTTCTCCTTTTATTTTTTTGACCCACGTACTATTTATTCATGTCGATTATTCCCTCTAGTCCTCTACAGACCCACATACGTACTATTATATTCATGTCAATTATTCTTCTAATCTTTTCTCTACTACTTTCTAGTGTATGTGATGCGTGGTATCTGTTTCACAAAAATTGTACTACGGAATACTTATACTTTGACTTTTGTACTATTTAAATACAATATAAGTTTTTCAGGGAAAATGATTTTGGTATACCGTAAGTTGATTTTGGCACACCATATATGAGAGCAAAATTTTTTATGCTCTTCTCAGTTCTGACATGAGAGTTTGCCAAATCAATTAAGAATGTGCCAAAATTAATTTTCCGTTTTTTAGGTATCAACATGCTTTTAGGTTAATATATATGACCCCATTGAAAACTGGCTACGCAAGAGCAACAATCAATTGATGTCATAAACAAAAGCTTATCATGCACTAATTTGACAAGAAATTTCTGCAAAATAATTAAGAACCATATCTCTTTATTTCCGTGCGTATGATGTGATTAAAAGGTTAGACATATCCAGTGAGTTGTTGCTCTTTTACTAAATTTTATCGTTGTTTAAACCTCTTGTTTGGGTCCAATTTAGTCAAAATTGGGCCTAAGCACTAAATGATCCAATTAAAAGCCCAAGGTCAAGGTTCAACTCTCCAATTGCTCAAAAGTCAAAGGTCAGCCCACAAAGTAAGCCAATTGGGCTAAAGCCCAACCTCTCCATGTATGATGAGGTATAAAAGCCATCATATTCACATACATTCATATTCATTTTTTCATATGCTCATTCTTGCATTCAGAAATATTCACAAAAGCCTCAAGCTACAAACTCTCTTGCATAGTGTCTTCCTTTTACACATTGTACTGACTTTAGCATCGGAGGGGCCTTCCTCGGAAACACCCCCGAGGCTAGTTTACGTGTGTTCACTGTGCAGGAAACCTTCGGCCCAAACAACTTGGACCGACCCAGTCTTCTCCATTTCAGCGGACCTTCGGCAAGGTCCCATTGTTTTCAACCGAAACAATTTGGCGCCGTCTGTGGGGAAGACTTTCAAAAATCTTTAAGCCAAATTCCTAACCAAGATCATCTTGCAATTATCTTAGCAGCCATGGCTAAGAACCGCAAGAGCAAAAGCCTCCGTCAAGGAGCGGGCGAAAAGCCTAAAACCCCTACACCATCGCCCTCGCCGGACCGGAACTCTCCCAAGGGTGCCGGCTCGGGGGGAGGATCACACAAGGAGGATTCCCTATCTCCTATAATGCATGACTCTCAATATAGGCCGGACCACTCTCGGTCTAGCAGGGGTCAGTCTGATCATAGGACATATTCAGTGTCCCAAAGCCAACCATCGGCTGCACGGCCTCATTACCACACTCGGCCGGGGACCCCATTGACGGGGCCCAGTTCGGAAGAGGTGGCAAGAGCGCTGGCAGTACTCATGGAGGCAATGAGGGCACAGAATATGCCACCGCCTCGTGATCGAACTCCTCCGCATACCCGGCATCAGCGGAGGAAGTTAGACCATGACGGTGGGAAGCTTCTTCCTTCCGGGAACTGGAAGAGTGGGAGGAGGATTCTTGGAAAAATGAAAAACAGAGGAAAAAGAACTCTCAATTATTTAAAGGATCCTCATCCTCAAGACCAGCAGCGCATAAGAGCAGCAGCTCAGCTTCTCGGCCAGAATCTACTCGCCGGGAACCCGAGACTGCTCGCAGAAGCGTCCTTGACCGACTCGGCGGCCAGGAACCGAGCGTGCGTAGTCGCCTCTCGTTCCCTGCAGCCGAGGCCCAGACTTCCCAGCCAGGGACGAAAACCACTCCTACCTCTCTAAGAGGGCGGAGCGCGGTCCCTTCGGCCAGGAACAAGGGCAAGGCCATTATGCTTCCCGCTAGTTCACCATTCGAGCAATGGATACTGGAAGAGCGCGTACCCACGGTTAAAATACCGTCGCATATCACATATGACGGGACCACGGATCCGAAGGACCACGTGGCCTCGTATGAGACTCATATGCATCTTTGCCCCAGATCCGAGGCGACTTGGTGCAAATATTTCCCAACCACTCTCAAGGGGGTCGCGCAAGCGTGGATCTCCAAGGGAGTAAGGCAAGGCTCCATAACAGGTTGGGATGATCTGTCCTCCAAGTTCAGGAGCAAGTTTTCCACGGCAAACCGCCGAGAGAAGACTACCGCAGAGCTCATGGGTCTGCAACAGGGGGAAACCGAAAGCCTCCGAGACTACCTGACCCGTTTCAGTAACGAGTCATCAAGCGTCTCTCAGCTGGACCAGGGGCTAGCTGTTTTTGCAATGCAGAATGGCCTTCAGCCAGGAAAATTCCTAGACTTCATGGTCATGCATACCCCTCAGACCTTGGAGGAAGCTCTTAGTGCTTCGGATAAGTTCATCCGAGCCGAAGAATGGAATAAAGCAAAAACCCAACCTCAATCCGGGGGAGGGAAACAGAGGCAAATACCTTTGTCTGAAGGCCAAGGCCATAAGGCAAAGGGAAAATCAAAGGCTCCGGAGCCATCTCCGGCCAGCGACCCAAAGAAGGACAGGTTTGCCTCATACACAGGCAGATATGAGTCCTACACTCCGCTCTCTCTTCCACGCGCCAAAATTTACAGTGTGACGAAGGAGGAGCAGAGTTACCGAAAGCCGAGACCACTCCCAGAGTGGTATCAGCGAAAAAATAAAAATCAGTGGTGTGAGTTCCACGAGTCTTCGGGCCACAACACTGAGGAGTGTATCCAGCTGAAGGACCAGATAGAGGACATGGTCCGGAAGGGATACTTGAAAAAATACATCGCGGATCACCGCGAGAAAAAAGAATCCGAGAGGTTAGCAAAGGACTCTCGCAGGACCTTGATTTCCCCCAGAAAAACAGTAAAAAACAGGAGGGGAAATTCCCTCCGATCAATGTTATCTCGGGAGGAATATACTCTCGGAGGGAGCACAAGCGTCACCTTAGAGCTTTGACTCACCAGGTGAACAACGCTGACATTCAATCTCCCCAGTCGCCGGTGCCGAACATGACGTTCACAGCCGCCGACTGCCGGGGGATTACGTTCCCTCACGAGGATCCGTTGGTGATCATCGCCACGGTGGCCAACCACGACGTCAGTAAGGTCCTTGTTGACGGTGGCAGCGGAGCAAACATTCTGTTCCGAAAGGCCTACAACCAAATTAAGCTGAAGCCCAAGCACCTTACGCCGGTACCCTATCCGGTATCCGGGTTCAATGGGGCTTCAACTTATCCAGATGGGAAGGTGACGCTTCCTGTCACCCATCGGTTGCGATGAGGCAGCCCGGAACGCCATGATTGAGTTTTTGGTCATCGACGCTCCTTCAGTGTACAACGTGATTTTGGGGAGACCCATAATTCACGAGATCCTTTTGTTTTTACTTTTTTGTTTTTATTTATTTTTTTATTTTGGACAAATCAAATTGTGACACGTGTAATAAACTTAATAAAATAAAATTACCTCTTCAACCGGTTACTGGTCACCCGGGATTATTTTCAGCGGATTGATATCAAAGGTGGGATTATTAAAAGGAATCCCAAAGGTGGGATTATTAATCTCCGACACTCAAAAGGTGGGATTATTCTCATCAATTTTTCCTTCCTTATATCCCTATAAGATTGTCTTAATGTACTCGTTTTCAATGCAATATTTTTTTTTAGTATCAATTATCTATTATGTTCACACTTGTAAAAATTGAAATATTTACGGTTTAATGCATCTTAAAAATCATGAAATTAAAAGTTAAGTGTATGCTTGGCTGTATACTCGTATGTACGTAGTTGTTCATATAAATAAAATGGATAATGTTTGATATTTTGGAATGTATTTAACTTCTAAGTTTTATAAAGAGTAAACAATAATTTTATTGCTCTCTATTCCTTAAACCTTACCATATATATCAAGTTCTACATGTAAAATATCCACATTCCAGGAACATCATGGCCATTTTCCCACTCGATTGTATCTCAAACGAACATCAATTGTTTCATATAAACAACTTTATTATAAACTATGTAAAATACTTCACCTCTCACAGAAGTAATTATTATCTATATATAATTATATAAAATGAAATCGAAACTTATAAAAGATCGACAACCTTGGCTTAAAAGCATATTGTTACATAAAATGTGCATGTGTCTCACAATCACATCGATCTATTTATTTGGTCAGTTATTATGATATACGGATTAAAGCTAGCTTATTGTTTAAAAAAAACTTCGTAATGATGTCTTTTTTCTCTTGCAAAATAAGTTGTATCTCACCAACAACAATTCTTTTTTCAACTAGTTTTGTGATGTTACTTGGTATTGCTGTATGTAGTCCTCCTGAAGATCCGATTAAGTGCTCGAACAATCGCTCCAATTGCACCATTACTAACTCCTATGGAGCGTTCCCTGATAGGACCACTTGTCGAGTGGCTGAAGTCGTGTATCCGGCCTCTGAGGATGAGCTCATTGAGGCCGTGGCTGTTGCAACCAAGAACAACAGGAAGGTTAAGGTATTGTAAATTTGTATTGTCTGTTAATGTGTTAGTTGGCTCACTTGTATAATTGTACGTGTATATATGTAATGGAATTTGGTCACTTGCTGCATTTTTCTCATATGGTTTAGGTGTTTATTTGTAAATACACAGACTAATTAATAAATAAATTTAAGCGACATGCTGTGGATAATCCATGGAAGAAATGTGCATGTTAACCATAGAACAAGTACCACCTTCTTTTTATATTATATACAACATAAACTAATTGTAAAAGCAATCGCTACACATACATTATATCCAACAAATGTTTTCTTTTATTTTTAAACTACTCTGTATCATTTTACTCCATCTTTATTCTCATCACTATCTTTATCTCTCCCTTCATCAATCATAAATTATTTTGCATAGAACTTCGTGCAACCTCATTTGTCGCACTTAACATGAACAAGAGGTAATATGTGGGCAGTGGAACCTTGTTATAAGTATTTAAGGCTATGTGAGCGTGAATTTTATTATAATGCTTGTATGATAAATTATACAAGTATGTTCGCTTTAACATTACATAAAAATGGTTATCGAGAGTGAGGGATAGCTCAAGTGGTTAGTGCTTCCCCCCCTCCCCCCCCCCCCCCGATTCCAAAAGATCATGGGATCGATTCTCATCTCCGCCCTTGTAATGGCTCTCTAAACAACAACAAAAAAAACATAAATATGGTTATCTACTAATCTTTGATGTGTTGCCAAATGGTGCAGACTTTAATCATAGATAAAATTAATATTTTGCCAAAAACAAATTTCTTATAATGACAATAGGTAGCAACACGTTACTCACACAGCATACCAAAATTGGTATGCCCCGACGGTGAAGACGGACTTCTCATAAGCACCAAGAACCTCAACATGATACGTAACGTCGACACGATGACCGGAACGATGACTGTGGACAGTGGGGTGACTCTCCGGCAGCTGATCAATGAGTCGGCGAAAGTGGGGCTAGCACTGCCCTATGCACCTTATTGGTGGGGGCTTACCATAGGAGGTATGATGGCCACTGCTGCACATGGGAGCTCATTGTGGGGCAAAGGCAGTGCAATACATGACCATATTGTTGGCCTACGGATCATTAGTCCCGGTCGTTTCGAAGATAGGTACGTTAAGGTTCGAACCCTTAATGAGACTGATGTTGATTTAGATGCTGCTAAAGTCTCCCTTGGGGTTCTTGGAGTTATTTCACAGGTATGACCAAAAGATTGAATATCTTGTTAGTTAGTTGTTGCATGACTGTAATTTTGATAGTAATAAATTTTGATTTGAAGGTGACCTTTCAACTACAACCTATATTCAAGAGGTCAATCACCTACACGATGAAGAATGATTCTGACTTGGGGGACCAAGCCTTAACCTTTGGCAATCAACATGAGTTTGCTGATCTAACATGGTATCCGAGCCAAAAAAGAGTCTTGTATCGTACTGATGATCGTGTTCCCCTCACTACTAAAGGGGACGCTCTCAATGACTTCACTGGATTTCGCCCAACACTTTCATCTGCGTTAGCGGTCATTCGGTCCTTAGGTACGCATTTCAAACTTCTAAATTATACATTGCAACAAACAAACAATTTTAGACACATTTTTGTTGTGGCTATCTCAGAGGAGAATCAAGAATCAAGAGCAGATGCTGAAGGCAAATGTGTTGCTGCAACATTAACAACGTCGTTACTCAGGAGCAATGCATTTGGACTAACAAACAATGGTAATTTATTGACATATATTTGTTATTCTACAATTCAAGAGTATTTTTGTGTATGTATGTATATGTTCAATTAGTTACTTCAAAACGTATTATGACTTGAATGTTAGGAATCGTCTTTACTGGCTACCCGGTGGTGGGATACCAAAACCGACTCCAATCGTCGGGAACATGCCTAGACAGTCTAAACGATGCGCTTATCACAGCATGCCCATGGGACTCAAGAGTGAAGGGGGAGTTCTTCCACCAAACCACATTTACTATTGGCATGTCTAAAGTGAAAGCCTTCATACAAGACGTCCAAAGATTGGTATCTCTAGAACCTAAATCCTTTTGCGGAACTGAGGAATATAATGGTATCTTAATGAGGTATGTCAAGGCCTCATCCGCTTACCTTGGAAAGGAAGAAGATGGCATAGATTTTGACATGACCTATTATCGAAGCAAGGATCCCCTTGCCCCACGACTCTTCGAAGATATACTTGAAGAGCTTGAACAAATGGCGATGTTTAAGTATGGAGGATTGCCACATTGGGGGAAGAATCGGAACTTGGCATTTGAAGGCGCGATCAAGAAGTATAAGAATGGAGGGAAGTTTATAAGAGTTAAAGAGAGGTTTGATCCACAAGGATTGTTTTCGAGCGAGTGGACTGACCAAGTTCTTGGGCTAAAACAAGGGTTAAGTATTGTTAAAGAAGGATGTGCCCTTGAAGGTTTATGCATTTGCTCTCAAGATAGTCACTGTGCCCCTAACAAAGGATACTATTGTCAACAAGGAAAAATTTACAAGGAAGCAAGGGTTTGTAGTAGAAGAAAATCTTAATTTGGCAACTTTTGTAAAATCATAGTGTATGGTATACAAAAGATTGATACAATTCTGATCAATCCCTTTCTTATCATCATTTTTTAGATGGCCTGTACTGTATTTATGTTAGATTAGCCTGGTAGATGAGGATGTGTAAGAAGTGATTTCTAATAAGCACCAGGCTAAAATCTAGCAGTTTGATTGGTCCAAAGCTCAACTATCATTATTGAGAGCAACGTCTGATTGGTTACGTCTTTCTTTCACATTAAGTGCTATCTTTGTACTACATATGTCATTATCACCGTTCTAATGACTTTCCATAGTTAATTTAATTTGTTTAAAGCACATTTTAAAAGGTGCCAAATTTCAATTTCATATAAGTCTCAACCACACCTTTCTTAATTTTCGACAAACCTTTCTTAATTTTCGACAATATGTTCTAACTCAATTTGAACGCCCTATAGAATCCTTTCAAAGTGATCATGGTCGTGAATTTAATAACGACCCGTTCAAATTATTTTGTGTCAAAAATGGAATGGTTTTCCGCTTCTCATGTCCTCACACTTCTTCTCAAAATGGCAAAGCCGAGCGCATGATTCGAACTCTTAACAATGTTAAGCGTACATTATTGTTTCATGCCTCTCTTCCTCCTTCATTTTGGCATTATGCCTTGGAGACAACCACCTACCAAAACTCTCAATCACATTACTCCGTCTCAAGCTTTATTTGGGGTTGTCCCGTCTTATAGCCATCTTAGAGTTTTTGGGTGTCTTTGTTTCCCAAATTTGTCGGCAACCATGCCTCATAAGCTTGCCCCTCGCTCCACCCCATGTGTTTTTTTGGGCTATCCTTCCGACCATAGGGGATATAGGTGTATGGATATTACTACTCGTAAAATTATAATCTCTCGCCACGTCACTTTTGATGAAAACACATTTCCTTTTACAAATATCTCTAGTTTTCAATCACATGATTATGATTTTCTAGCTCATGATGATCCATCACCAATATTGCATCAATTATTTCACAAACCCCGTACACAGCCCACATTGCAAATGGGCTGCGGCACAACCCCACATACCGCAAGTGGGCTGCGATCCACTCTGCCTCCCCTTACAATCCAGCGGGTCAGCCAGCACCCGCTGGAATTCCAGCAGCCCATTAATGACCCCTCCTCACCTCCTAGCCCACCTCACTCACATCAGCCCAACACTCCTATTTTACCCACTGACCCAATCACTCCAACACCCACATCACGCACATACACACCCCCACCTCTTCGAGGCCACAAACCGATTATTCCGACTACTCCTCCGCCTCTTTCACCTCAAATGCAAACAAGGTCTAAGCACGGAATAATTAAACCCAATCCTAAATATGGCTTATCTACCACCATTCGATCCCCACTTCCCAAAAATCACAAACAAGTCCTTTCCGACCCAAATTGGAATGCTGCGATGCGTGATGAATATAGTGATTTAATTGAAACGGGGACATGGGATTTGGTTCCAAGGCCTACGGGGGTGAACATTGTTAATTGTATGTGGTTATTTCGTCATAAATTAAAAGCTAATGGTGATCTTGAAAGACACAAAACTCGTTTAGTTTGTGATGGCAGGTCTCAGATTGAAGGTGTTGACTGTGATGAAACGTTTAGTCCAGTTGTTAAGCCGGCCACTATTCAAACGGTGTTGAGTTTGGCTATGGCTCGTAAGTGGTCTATTCACCAACTTGATGTGAAAAATGCTTTTTTGCATGGTGAATTGAATGAGTGTGTTTATATGCATCAACCCCATGGGTTTGTTGACAAGAGATTTCCAGGCTATGTTTGCAAACTTTGCAAGGCTCTATATGGCCTCAAACAAGCTCCAAGAGCTTGGTACCAGCGTTTTGCTAACTATCTTTTGCAGATGGGGTTGTCATTGCTAAAATGGATAATTCTTTATTTATCTTCCGGCATGGGAATGATATGGCATATTTGTTGCTATATGTTGACGATATTGTGTTGGTTACCTCCTCAGATAAACTGCGTGAGAAGATTATTTCTCACTTACGGAACGGGTTTCCGATGACAGACTTAGGTCCATTGAATTATTTTTTGGGCATTGCTGTTACACGTACACCTTCATATCTGTTTCTGTCACAGCAAAAGTATGCACAGGAAATTCTTGAACGTGCAGGTATGAGCAGTTGTAAACCTGCGCAGACTCCAGTGGATACTCAATCCAAACTCAGTGCAGATGCCGGACCTCAGTTTCATGATCCAACACTCTATCGCAGTCTTGCAGGTGCCTTACAATACCTCACTTTTACTCGCCCTGATATAGCGTATGCAGTTCAGCAGGTCTGTTTATTCATGCATGATCCCAGAGTGGCTCATTATGATGCATTGAAGCGAATTCTGCGATACATTCAGGGTACCATTGATCATGGGTTACATTTATATCCTTCGGCTCCTAAAAACTTGATTACATATACTGACGCAGATTGGGGCGGGTGTCCAGACACTCGTCAGTCCACTTCCGGTTACTGTTGCTTTTTGGGTGACAATCTTATTTCTTGGTCATCTAAGCGTCAGCATACTCTCTCCAAATCAAGTGCAGAGGCAGAATACAGGGGCGTCGCGAATGTTGTTTCTGAGGCATGTTGGCTCCGCAACCTTCTTTTAGAGCTACATTGTCCTCTACGGCAGGCTACTCTTGTTTATTGTGATAATGTCAGTGCAATCTATTTATCTCACAACCCCGTACAGCACTAACGCACCAAGCACGTCGAAATGGACATTCATTTTGTTCGAGAAAAGGTGACGTTGGGGCATGTACGGGTATTACACGTTCCTTCTCGGTATCAGTTTGCAGACATTTTCACGAAAGACCTACCCAGACAACTATTTATGGATTTCAGGTCCAGTCTCAGCGTACGCCCTCCTCCCGCTACGACTGCGGGGTGTGATAGAATATAGGATTATTATTCTAGATATTCTGTTATCGTTGGATATATTTTGTATATTTTGTGTAATTATCTTTTGAGATTTCCTAACGTGATTAGGACTCACTCTTGTAACCCTATATATTGAGATCAATGGAATCGACTCCAATCTGAGGAGTTTCATATTATCTAACAAATAGTTTATGGCAGATATTTATAAATTTTACCAAGGGCAACCAGAGATCTGTGGTTGTTGCTTGCAACACACTTCGCACCATAATAATTAAGCAGTACTGATTTATTAATCACGGACGAGTGGACGACAGCAATGTAGTGTAACAGTATTTTAAGGCCAAATTTCTTATAACTTGTACAAAATCTGCAAGTTTTTAGACCCTGAATAAACATAGTATACATATTTTTTTTTAGCAAATTAATGAAATATTTCGCTTTCTTCCACTCATAAATGAACAAAAATAAATAATAAAAATTGATTTCTTAACCACTCCCAACCCATCCATATTCCATAACTAACGTGCATATATACAAGGGCTTCCAAAATAATCTGCCATGCCTGCAAAATAAACCTAACCATGTATATTTATACGACTAGTTATTACTAATTACTAATATGGAATTATCTTAATAAGAAATGACGATGTATAAGTCCAAGTGTTGTTTTCTTCTTCTAATTAGCTATTATTTGCTTCAATGGTATTGTACCACTGTTACCTGCAATTGTGTTGCTCCGGAGGATCCAATCAAATGCTCCTCCGGCAACTCCAACTGTATCATCACAAACTCTCAAGAGTCCTTCCCTGATCGAAGCATCTGTCGGGCAGCTGATGTCGTCTATCCTACCACCGAAGCTGAGATCATCTCAGCTGTGTCTACTGCAACGATGAAAAAGAGAAAGATCAAGGTATGTACATGTTACACCACATTCGTACGTGCTCACTTGGTCAGTCGGTCTATAATCTCCAACTCTCGGATCCATGACCAATATTTTATGAAATTTTTCGGCTGCTGAATGTTCGAAGGATTGATCAAGCCAAGTATATAGCATAGTTTTAATGTGATGTCATTGCGTCATTCATGTGTTATTAGATCATATTATGAGGCATATATAAGCTGTCAATGGTATCATATGCACGTTATCTTCTGCCTATCACACTGATATGTTTATTATTATTATTCAACTATATTGATTTGTATTAACACATTTATCGAACCCCAAATCGAATCGAACAACAAATCAACAGTTGGCTTTGATCACTACAAGAAACAATGAAATTTTTTGACAAGCATTTGTGAAAAAGTGTTTTTACAAAATCATTAAATAATTAGCTTGTTAATTAACATAACATATAATTTATTTTTAGCAACTCTAAATCTCTGGTAAACTGATAGCATTTAATTAGTTTCGTCACTGAAAAAGTACAAATAGATAATATCATAAATAGCAGTATTATGAAGTACTCGTGTACTATTATTCGAATTTTCAAAATATATTCTTTTGCATTATTATACATTAGTTTTTTATTTATTTATTTTTTTGTTGCAAAAGAGGGCTTAGAACCCGAATACAAAAATAAAAATTACCTAATAAAACGGGATGACGTGACCCCGACTAAGTCCTCCCAGAGCAAGTTCCTTATTTTGATTGGAGGCTCATCAAAATAAGTCACCTTCTCTTCAAGGACTACTCCTAAATTAGCCAATCGATCGGCCACCTTATTACCTTCCCTAAAACAGTGATTAACTAAAACATTACAAAAAAAACCTTAAAAGATTCCGACAATTGTTCAAGACGTGATAACACTCGCTTCCTTGATGTTGTGCTTCTTTAAGTGCTTCAATACATGCTTGGTTATCCATTTGAACTACTAGCTTTTCAATGCCTCTTTCTACTGCCATCTGTAGACCAATCTCGAGTGCCAAGAGTTTAGCTCTGTAAGAAGTGCACATACCAAATCGAGCTGCAAAACCTTGAATAAATTGGCCAGTAGCATCCCTAATTATCCCCCCTCCACCAGCTTGACCTGGTGATCCCTTAGCTGCGTCGTCTGTGTTCAATGAAAACCAGTTGGAGGGTGGGGCTATCCAACGCACAAAAATTTCATGTTTTGGTTTTCTTCCCAGAATATTTCCCTGGATTGGATCAGCAACTAGTGTATTCCAAGTCTCCTCTACTCTATTCTTTATAAATGTTCATGTGTCCATTGGAACATCATCCCCTCTTCCAAATGTTAAGCTATTTCTCCATCTCCAAATCCACCATAGAGTGGTTGCAAAGCAGGTCTACCATTTGTCAGATTGTGTTTCATCAGTGTTCTCCATGTTGCGCATAAACCATTCTTCAAATGAGCCACTGAAAAAAGTAGGAGCAAGAGCAACGCTACCAACATTGTTCCAGATATGGCGAGCCTTAGGACAATCCCTTAGCAAGTGAATGACTGTTTCTTCAGCATTCTCCGTGCAGATCTTGCATCTAGGATCATCTGATAATTGCCTCTTGAAACGATGGACATTACAGAGTATTCTATCATGAAGACACAGCCAAAGGAAGCTTCGAATCCTTTGAGGAACAGGGGCCTGCCAAGCTAATTCCCACTTTGGATGCTTACCTCTGTTATCTTGAAACTTCATGATTTGCAAGGCATTTTTTATTGAAAACTTGCCCTTTGATGAGCCTTTCCAAAATCGTAAATCCCCTGCCTTTGGATCTTCTATGAGCTTGTGTGCTGCAATTAGTTGGAGACTCATATTTGGTAGAAGGTGAGCAAAAAGTTCCCATTTCCATCCCAAGTTATTATCCCACATTTCCTGCACTATTGCTCCATCTAATTCAGGTGGAATGTTTGACGTAGCTTCATCTCGAAGAGGACTATCAGAAGCCCAGCAGTGATCCTAGAAAAGTGTGGTACTACCATTGCCTACAGCAACTTTTGAGCCCTTTTTCAGCCACTCTGCATTCTCGGTGATCCCTCTCCAAACGTTGGACATATTAGATGATGGGGTAAACATATCTATGTCACAACGCCCATGGCAATATTTAAATCGTAAGACTCTTGCCCACAAGGAATTAGGCTCAGTGAGGACTCTCCAACCAAGCTTAGTCAAGAATGCCGAGTTGGATTGTCTTGTTGATCTCATGCCTATACCCCCTTTTTCTCTGGGCAATTGTAGGGTCTCCCAAGATAAGAGGTGGACTTTTATTTTTTCTTCATCTCCTCCCCAAATAAATCTTCTCGTCTTCTTATCAATGTCATCACATATGGAGCGAGGGATTTTCGCTGTTTGCATCGAGTAGTTTGCCATGGTAGAGAGAGTGGATTTGGCTAGAGTTATTCGGCCTGCCAAGGAAAGATACTTGGTTTTCCATCCCGAAAGTCTACGATCAATTTTCTCACATAGGTGGGCAAATGTATCCCTTGTTATCCGATTTGTAAGTGTGGGCATACCCAAGTAAAATCCCAAGTCCTCCGTGCTTTCCATTCCTAACACCGAATTAATGCTATTTTGTTCAGCTGCTGATACATTTCGAGAGTAGTATACTCTCGACTTTGGGAGACTCACACGCTGCCCAGATGCAACACAGAACCTATCTAAGCAGTCCTTGATCACAGCAGCTTGCTCTGGCGAAGCTTCAGCAAACAAAATTAAGTCGTCTGCGAAAAACAATTTTGAAAGAGCAAGGCCACCTCGGCTTGCAAATATTGGTTTCCATTTGTTAAGGAAAACTGCTTCCTCAATCACTTGATTCAAACGCTCCATACAGAGAACAAATAAGTACGGAGATAGGGGGTCTCCTTGGCGGATACCGCGAGATGGGTAAAATGTATTCGATTTTTCCCCATTCCACAACACTCTCATTGAGGGGGTAGTCACACATTGCATTATAACTTCGATCGATAACAAAGGGAAATTCATGTCAAGCAAAGTATCTCTAATGAATGACCATTTGAGTCGATCATAAGCCTTCTCAAAATCGATCTTTATAGTCATGTAGCCCTTCCCTCCTTGTTTGCGCTTCATCGTGTGAACCACTTCTTGAACGACAACAATGTTATCGGTAATTTGTCTGTTTGGAACGAAACTTGATTGAGAATCAGCAATTATTTTTGGAAGCAGGGGCTTGATGCGGTTGACTATGGCTTTTGTAATTATTTTGTAAGCGACATTACAAAGCCCGATAGGACGAAATTGAGCAGGAGACTCTGGATTTTCAGTTTTCGGCAGTAGCACAAGAAATGTTTCATTGATAGAATCCGGTAAACCCCTTCCTTCAAGAGTTTCTAAGGCCATAAAATATACATTGGGAGCAACTAAATCCCAATTTTTCTGATAAAACAAGGCTTGATATCCATCAGGACCCGGTGCTTTAAGTGAACCCATCGTATTGATAGCAAGATCGATGTCACTTTTTGTAAAGGGTCTGGCCAATTTACACCACTCATCATGGTCAATTGGGTTACTTACACCAGTTGGGATGTCATAGTTCACGGCTCCTCCTTCATCAGTTTAGAGACATGCAAAGTAGTTTACCACGAGTGCTTTAACTTCCTCCTTATCATGAACCCACTGGTTATCACTGTTCTTTATGGCTACCACATTATTTTTCCATCTTCGTACTATTGTACTTAGGTGAAAAAAAGTAGTATTACGGTCGCCATTTGTCAGCCATTCTACTCTCGATTTCTGATACCAAAGGAGTTCTTCTTGATTAAGGACCCTATCGAGATCCCTTCTCAGTTTCGACTCCAATTTGATCAGTCCAGAATTTCTCTCCGTTGCCAGCCTTTTCTGAATCCCATCAATTCGTGATATTAAAGTACGTTTCTCACGAAAGATGTTATGAAAAATTTCCCTGTTCCAATTTTGCAATTCCGTGGACAAGGAACCAAGGAGAGGCATCAAAGGGGTTGTGCTGTCCTATTTGTCATGAAGGAATTCACCAAATTTTTCGTGTGTGAGCCATGTAGCTTGAAATCGGAAGGGTCGATTTATCACATCCAAGGGGGCAAATCCGTTTAGAGAAATAAATAGAGGGCAGTGATCTGATTGAAGCGCATGAAGATGTCGTACTTGAGCTTTATCAAAGCGCATTCCCCATTCCCCTGTGCAAAGTGCTCGGTCAAGTCTAGCACTCCTTCTTGTTTCCATCGAATTGCCCCTAGCCCATGTATGTGCAGGGCCAGAAAATTCGACTTCAATAAGATTGTTTTCGTGAATCCAAGCATTGAATCTTTGGCTTCTTCTCGTCGTATCAGCACAGCTCGAGTTTCTTTCCCATCCAAATCGAGTTTCATTGAAGTCCCCTGCTAGAAGCCAAGATTTGTTATTTCTACTAGCAAATTCTGAAAGTGCATCCCATAACTCAGTCCTTTTGGATGGGTCGGGGCTGGCATAAATTTCCGAGAAATACCAGGGCTCTTCACCAATTTTAGTAATTTGCATTGTAATGTACTGATTCGCATGGTCAATCGGCTCCACTATTACTAACTCCGGCTTCTAGTAAACCCATATTCCCCACTAAATCCTTGTGCATCAACGCGAGTATGTCCATCATATCCAAGTATAGAAGCAACTCTATTAGCATGATCCCCACCCATATGAGTTTCAAGAAGAGCAAGCACAATTGGCTTGTTAATTCGAACAATTTCTCTGAGAACCGAAAGAAATTCCTTGCTCCCAGTGCCTTGAGCATTCCATACCATGCAATTAATGGGGTAGGAATTGGATGTCATATGATGGTTTCTATTCATCTCGAGACTGGATAAAGGGAACTTGGAATCATAAGCTCTTAAGAGATGGTTAAAAGCTTGATTAATTTTCCATGGCAACCTGAGAGTCACCATCAGCTCTGGTGTCACTTGCCTCGACACCATCCATGAATGAAACTCCACCTCCATCATGTGAATTAGGGGGTCGAGCATGTAAAGGTACGGTTCTTCCGTTGGCAAACTCCCACATAGTATCTTCTCCGGGGGGATTCGGAGTTGAATTGGGGTTGGCGGTGGGCGAGACATGAGTTTCGAGAGGTGAAATTTGGGACAAATTTGGTAGCTCAGGGGATTGAATTTGAGTGTCTATAATTATGGCTTTTGAAGGTGCTTCTGTGTTAGCTTCAGAAATAGCTTCGATTGTAATTGGATTATTTTCTTTGCCTGTCTTAGCATTCAAATTCATGTTGGGTGTGGGGCCCGAGGATAAATTATTAGATTTATCTTTCAGAACAGAATTAGGCAAAGGATTATCTTTTCTCCTAATTTCCTGCCAATTTTTCAAACCTCCCATAAATTGTCCATTAAATTTGGGATTTTGATTTGATTTTCCCATAGAAAAAGGAGATTTGGGAAGGCTGGAGTTATCCCGAGAGGAAGATTTTCCTGACTTGATAAGATTTTCCTTCCTAACATAATTATCCCCAAATTTTTTTGCCAAATTATCATTATTTTCATTATTCGAATCCTCTGTTTCTATATTTTCACCCTGAATTTGCTCCTCCAATATTACGAATCTTGACCCAGTGTTTGACTCTTTCGCTTGACCGGATTGACCCTGGCTCACACCCTTGCGCTGCTCTTCCTTCTTTGTCGTGGTTTGCACCTTATCCGGCTTGACTGATTTCTTCCTGGGGGGGTTTCTTGACCAACATCCAAGAGCCGTAGTCCTGTTGTTCAACTGTTAAAGGCCTTGTGTCTTTAGCCTCTGTCTCTGTTCCTTGGACTGTAACATTATCAGCACTATTATGAACCATGGATTCACACTTGTCTCCTTGATGACCAATCTTCCCGCAATTGAAGCATATCATGCGAAGGCGCCTTCGTATTGAATTTTTCAAATTTTCCCTTTTAACCAGAATTTTGAAAGGAGGGGTTTGGTTAAGTCAAGTTCAACACTTAGTCTTGTAAATTGCCCACGTTGTGCCATGGCTGTGTTGTTGTCAATTCTTATGACTTTCCCAATTTTGCCTCCAATCTTCTGCAAAAATTCTTTGTCGAAATACTCGACAGAAAGGTTTGGTATGCGTACCCATGCTGTTAGGAATCGCAAAGGAGCATCATCCGGGATGAAATTAGGCACCCATTTACGGATAGTGAGATAGTTATCATCAAGCATCCATGGACCTTGGGTTAGGACATGATTATAATCTTCAATGCTTGAGAATCTAGCTATGAAGTAATCATGTCCAATATCAGTTAGCACCAATCCTCCTTTTAATTCCCATTTGCGTTTTAGCCTCTTCAGGAGGGACATATATCCTATTTTCGTGTTGAACATCTTAATGATCAACGTGTGCTTCCATGGTTCCCTTAGTCTCTTTTTTTCCTCCTTTGACAAGAGAATTATGGGACATTTTGGGTCATCTTCTAACCCATCTGGTGGTTCATCATCATCAGAAATCTCCTCTTCATCATCAAGAAGTTGTGGAATACCTTGGGTATGCCCATGACTGTCAGTGTCCACCATATCTCGGAAGGATGTTGGCTTGTGTACTAATGGAGGAAAGAAATTCCTTCCATTAGTCTCTGGAGCATCCTTTTCAGCAGTGTTATTCGTATTGAAGATTAGATGAGTAATCTTGCGCTTTGGTTTCTTAGATGATCGGTTCATCAGATCCCTTTCTTCCTGGGTTAATTCTTTAGGCTGATTATCACTCAGAGGCTTGTCTTGAGAAGGGGTTTCCCTCACAAGAATAGGTTTTTAATTTTTGGCCCGGGGGCTTGTAAAAATAATCATTAATTTCTTTGTATTTGCAAATATTATTGAACATTAAGATTCATTAATTAATGTGTTAAAAGGATATTATGGTTTAGTTGGCATAAAATAATAAAAATATTCTTTATAAATAAACGTTTTTTGGGTTAAAAGAAAAAACCTCTAAGATTGCTATGCATTTGTGGGTTACATATTATACTTTTTTTTCTTTTTTTTTTTATTTTTTTTTTTTCTGAAAGAGGGTTGTATATTATACTTATAAGTTATAACCTATACGAATTATTAATGAGTATATGAATTAATATTGTAATCATGTTGTTAAAATATACTCATATAAGTTGACAATTAAAATTTAAGGATTCATGAACACAAATACGAAGTAACTTATGATATAACTTCATTGTCATAAGTTGTGTCATTGAAGCAGTATTAAAGTTTAACTTTAATGAATGTGAGGTCAATTGATGATTGGCTATAGTATGATATAACGCCATATAAGCAATGACAACACGTGGCAAGATTACAATCCTATAGAATGGTTCCTTGGACCACATATTTTTATTATGTCTTATGTAGTACCTCATTACCTACTCTCGTCATAACTCGTAAGTTAATCCTAATTAAGAGTTTTTCCAACTCTTGATAAATTTAAACTTTAGTAAGTTAAGTAAGGTACGGAAAACAATGAAATTTAATATTTGAGCTTTAATCTAATTTATCAGGTCCTATTAAATCTAATTTATTAGGTAGCAACCAGATATAGTCACAGTGTTCCAAAGTTGGTGTGTCCTGATGGGGAAGACAGTCTAGTCATAAGCACAAAAAAACTGAATGAAGTACTGAAAGTGGATAAGGAGGCTAAAACCATTACAGTGCAAAGCGGCATGACGCTAAAGCGGCTGATAAAGGAGGCGGCCAAGTACAAGCTAGTATTGCCCCATACACCATACTGGTGGGGCCTTACTGTTGGTGGGATGCTCGGAACAGGTGCTCATGGAAGCTCATGGTGGCTGAAAGGAAGTGCGGTTCATGACTATGTTGTGGAACTTAGGATCATTAGTCCAGGCGGTGATGAAGATGGGTATTATAAGAATCGTACGCTTAAGGAAGGTGATGATGATGATCTTAATGCAGCTAAAGTCTCACTTGGGGTTCTAGGAGTCATTTCTCAGGTACTATTCAAGCTGATCTTTGAAAGTCAATGCTTATATATGCATCATTGAATAACTTTAATCTAGGACTCATAACTTTTTTATTTATTTTTTATTTTTTCATGAAGGTAACGTTCAAATTGGAGCCTCTCTTTAAGAGATCAATTACTTTAGAGGAAACCAATGACGACAGTGGCTTAGGGGAGGAGGCCTTAAATTTTGGCAAAAAACATGAATTCGGAGACATAACATGGTACCCTAGCCAACACAAAGTAATGTATCGTATTGACGATAGAGTTCCCTCCACAACTCCCGGCAATGGTGTCAATAACTATCTCCCTTTCCAGTCAATTGCAGCATCTCTGTTGGTAGCTAGCAGAAAAATAGGTAGTTTACTTTGTACTTGATTCAATTAGAAATTATACAATCATGTAATGACGTAATGTCAGGAGAAAAACGTGACATAGCATCAGTTTTTGAAAGTAATTTTTTTTAATTTATTGGTACTAGATTTTCCTAATTGTGTCTCAAGTAATCTAATTAGCAACTTTCCTACATACATTTTATATTAGAGGAGTTGGCAGAAGCTATTAACTATGCTGATCTGAAATGTTTCGGGGGAAAGGCGGTATCAGCCACACTGAAGGGCATGGCATTCGGATTAACCAACAATGGTACTCATCTTCTTCAACTCATTCATTATTTTGGAATCTTTTTTTAATTAGTATTGGCAAATAGCATGCTTGCTGAAGAACCTTATAGCATGCTGTGCTGAAGAACCTTCAAATTTTGACTAAATGCTAAGGCTAATCCAAGTTATACTGATGTTTGATTAGGTAAGAACTTTAAAGGCTACCCTGTAATCGGTTATCAAAATAAGCTTCAAGCATCAGGAGGATGCTTAACTCCAGGGTCTTGTTTACTCAAATCATATTGCCCGTGGGATCCAAGAATTGACGGCGAATACTTTTTCATCCAGGGATTTAGTATAGGAATCTCCAAAGTGAAGAACTTCATTCAAGATGTACAAAAACTAGTTGAACTAGAGCCAAAATCACTATGCGGCTTAGACATGTACAATGGCATACTAATGAGATATGTTAGCGCCTCTACAGCCTATCTTGGAAAGGATGAAGATGGAATAGACTTTGATATTCCCTTTTATCGAAGCAAAGACCCTATGGCTCCTAGGATGTTCGAGGACATACTCGAGGAAACCGAGCAGATGGCTATGTTTAAGTACAGGGGAATGCCTCACTGGGGAAAGAATAGAAATGTAGCCTTTGAAGGCGCGATCAAGAAGTACAAAGACAATGAAAAGTTCTTAGATGTCAAGCAGAGATACGATCCCTCGGGTTTGTTTTCAAACGATTGGACAGACCAAGTATTGGGGCTTAAAGAAGGATTGAGCATTTACAAAGAAGGATGTGCACTCGAAGGGCTATGTATATGCTCTGAGGACATTCATTGTTCTCCTAAAAAGGGGTACTTTTGTAAACCAGGAAGGGTCTACAAAGAAGCAAAGGTTTGCAGAAAAGTAAAATCTATTGGCATTATTTGAATTTACAGTCCAGTCCTAAGCTTGTTACATAGATAAAATTGTACCAAATTCAGTAATCAATACAAGAAATTAGCATTGTTAACAATTGTCTTAACACAGACACAATTCAATCTAAGAAACTTTTTGCAAATTTGATTATTTCTTGAAATAAAATTATGTTGGAGGTTGTCATTGTATGAAAATGTAATAAAAACAGTGAATTGAATCTATTATCAACAAAGTATTACTAGGGCTGTATAATTATCACAAATTACATAAATGGTTAATTGATTATTTTGATGAATATTTTACTATGAAGAGTACATACTCACATTCATGTGTACTTATATATATACAAGAAATTACACTGCAACAACAGCAAATTATATTGCATATACTGATATAGTGATATACATAAACTCCTAACTATATTTCCATTGTGTAAAGTGAAGGGCAAAATAGGAAGAAAAAACGAACTCACGCAGAGTGGCAGTTTTAGAGATTAGAGAATTGTTGAAGACGTTTCTCTAGTTCATCCAATCGGGTCGCCCAATCACTCTTCACGGATACGGGTCGGACCTTATCATAATCGATTACTTGTCTTTTCCCATTATTCTCTGCTCTCTTGAATTCGGCGGACCCTTTTTTCTTCTGCTGCTTCTTGGTGTTTGCTTTTTTGACGGTTGCTTTCTGCAAAGCCCTTAAAATATCCGACCCGCTTATCTCATTCCCATTGTTGGGCTTTTTTTGTTGTTGGCTTGGATTCGAACCTGTTGATGGGCCGGAATTGATGGTGCTGAGTACTACTTGGCCCAGCCCACCAACGTCTTGTGGAGAGGCGGTGGCGAGGATTGCCGGGTTTTGGTTTCTACGCCGTAACTGGGTGGTGGAAAGGGTTTTCGGCGGTGGTTGCGGGAAGGAAATGGAGGGTGTGTATGAAACAGGGGTTGTATTGGTTTTGGTTGGAAGGAAGGTTTGAGGGGAAGTGGTAACCCACATGGTTGTGAATAACCCACGGCCTAGAAATATCATCGACTTGGCATCATATAATTAAACCAAATTCAAATGGACTCCACATATTTGATTATTTGGTGCTTTCAAATGTTGTGTGGTTGTCCTTTGCCTTCCAAGAGTTCCAAGTTTCAACCAATACATTTTTTTTTCTTTGGGTTTTTCAACTTTATAACCCTAACTTTCCGTTTTCTACTATGTGCTCCTTTTTGAGAAATACACAATATAACCCTAAAATATATTTAGTTTCTAAACAGTAACTTTCTTTAACAAATTTCGTTAGTGGGGCCCACTCTCCACTTAATAATATTTAGTTATCGATATGCGTGTAAAAATTGTTTCGTTAAAGGTTTTGGCCGGGGGTTATTTAATTGAGATCTTATTTGGCAAAAAATAACGTAAATGCCTCATTTAGGCCATTATGGGTTTAATTCTACTATTGGGTTGATCCTCCTATTGATTAAGTACAATAATGGACTAAGTTAATAGGATGCCTAATGTACAATTGTACAAACGTTATGGCATCAAAAGTGTATGTAACAACAGACATAAGTTCTAGTCCTCACGATGTCCCAAAAAAAAATGCTCTAGTCCTAACCAAAAAAAATAAGCAAGAAACCACAAATTACAAACATGAAACAGAGTCAATGTTGAACAAAAATATACACAATTTTTCAAAGATACCTTATTAATATATTTGCATCATAACACGTTGGTAAAAATATCAATCACCAAAATTTCAAGAGCCCTCCTAAAATCATAGGTCCTCTCAATAATCAAATCAAATCAAATTAGTATCCTGGATCATTCTACAAACATACAGAAACTCTTGAATAATCTTTGTTTCGGTTAAAAACAATGGGACCTTGCCGAAGGTCCACTGAAATGGAGAAGACTGGATTCGATCCAAGCTGTGTTGGGCCGAAGGTTTCCTGCACAGTGAACACACGTAAACTAGCCTCGGGGGTGTTTCCGAGGAAGGCCCCTCCGATGCTAAAGTCAGTACAATGTGTAAAAAGGAAGACACTATGCAAGAGAGTTTGTAGCTTGAGGCTTTTGTGGAGTATTTCTCAATGCAAGAATGAGCATATGAATTGGAATAATTAGTGTATGAGATAATGTATGTGATCATGTATCTGATCTCCTCTTGAATGTGTTAATATGAGGGCTTTTATACCTCATCATACTTGGAGAGGTTGGGCTTTAGCCCAATTGGCTTACTTTGTGGGCTGACTTTTGACTTTTGAGCAATTGGAGAGTTGAACCTTGACCTTGGGCTTTTAATTGGATCATTTAGTGCTCAGGCCCAATTTTGACTAAATTGGACCCAAACAACTTGCCCCCCAGACCCGATTTGGAAGAATGACGGGTCGGGTTTGATTTAACTCAGAAAAGGAGGGAAGTAAATGATTTAATTGATCCAAAAATTTGAATTTAAACCGTAATTAATGAGATAACAACGGTTAATGATTTGCGGAAGTTGGACGGATAATGGGCGGTTTAATCACAAGACATGTGTTTAATGGTTACTTAGTGGGTACTTAAGAGAAATTAAAGCACAGACTCTTCGTATCCCGTACCTGGAGATATAAACAGAGGCGCGTCATTCTCCTCACTTATTCACCAACACAAACCCAGAATTCTTCGAGAGAGAAACCGAGAATCCGTATCAAAACTTCGCAAACTCCCCGAGCATTGAGCTTAGAAACTGAGATTTGCCACTACGAACTCGTAAATCGGCAACTTTCGCTTCAGATTAAGGTAAATTCCTTTGATTTCAGTTTATTTTTCTTCGAATTCGAACTCCTTCCCCTTTTCTTTCGACTTTTCTCTTCGAAATAATCCATGGCAAGAGGAGTTAGAGGTAGAGCCCGTGCTCCAAGAAGAGCAAGGCCGATTCCCGATCCTAGGAATAGGATTGGGACCTGGAATGGTCAAAGGCCGGAGTCTGACCCTGCTGAAGGGATTAGGGCGACTCCCCTTTCCTCGGCTCCTCCTCAAAGAACGGATGAGCCGAGTGCTTCTGGACGGGACGATGAAATTCCCGCTGTCCTTTGGGATATCCTCCCTGGGTTTTCAGAGTGGGAGAATGCCGAAGTCGCTTCGGCCATGATAAAGAACCGCCCCTACTCATGGTGGGTAGAGAACGCCGATCAATATCGATTTGCTGAGCAAATTGAGTTGCACTACGGCATTTTTGAAGCTGATGGATACTGGTGCCGAATGCCCTCAGCATCCGATAGAATCCATCGTCCACCCCCGGGGTATGTGGGGGTGTACACGAGACAGCTTCAGTATGGGCTGAGGTTCCCTTTGGACGTTTTCGTCCGAGACTTGCTGATCCATTACAACATTTCCCTATGTCAGCTAACCCCCACCAGCATCCGAAGGGTGATGACATACTTATGGGTCTGCAAGTTCTTCAAATACGTGCCGAACCTGCACTGCTTCAGAAAGCTCCATCGGCTAGTGCCAAATATTCAGAGTGGGCACGGAAGCCATGGTTCCGGGTGGTATCGGATTGAGTCCCGGCCCCAATACCTGACCATGTGGCCAAATGACTCTTCAGACAAGGACTGGAGAGGTCAATGGATTTGGGTTAGGGCACCCATAGATCCGGGCCACCCTTGCGTCTTCAGCGCTCCCCGGTACTTAGCTGAGCCTGATCCCGAAATGGGAAGTCTAGGTCCCCCCGCAGATAACGGGGCGGATCCGAACCTGGATCAGCAACATATCTTCGGCAAGCTGCCGAACCCGGGGGGGAGTGGTCGAATGCAGCATATCCCGGAGACTTGGCTCCCCGATACGCATTACGTTTTCCAAGAGAATATGCTAGCAGCTGTTGGCCTCAGCCGAAAGTTTAAGGATGGTAAGCTTCTTCGGCTGGGGCCGAGGCTTTTAACTACCTCTTTTTCTTCTCTCGCTTTGCTTTTTTATGCTGTGCCAACATATCTGAGCTAAACTTTTTCCCTTTCCTTTTTTCAGAGCGGGACGAGACCAACGTTGGTATTAACTACGCTCGTCTTGGTGTTAACCGAGAGCGAGTTGTAACTGAACGGGCCCCGTCTATCACTGAGCCGAGGCATAGGGAAGTTCATCTGGACTCTTCCCACTTCCAAATTGAGGCTGTTGCTCTGTATCAGAGGCAGAAGCCTTGGTGGAAGAAGAGAGACCCTTGGTTTCAGCTGCTGAACGAAGAAGCTGAAGCTGCCCGCACAGCCGAAGAGGTTGCACGGGTACTTGAGGCTTGTGAAGGAGGAGAAGGGTCCTCCAGAGCTGCTGAAGCCGAAGCTGCAGCTAGAGCAGCTGAAGAAGACGAGGCTTTGCTGAAAACCTCGGTGAGTTTTCAGACAACTTTTTTTTTTTTTTTTTTTTTTTTTTTTTTTTTTTTTTTTTTTACTCACACTCTTCTTCCCCCCTGTCTGTTACAGTCTGAAGAGAGTAACAGACACAGAGAAGGCAAAGCTCCTGTTCGTCCCGAAGATCAAATACAAGAGTCTTCAGACTCAGATATGGACGAGCAGCCCCTTCTGAAAAGGCGCCGAAGGATGGCCATCATCGGCCCTCATGACTTTCAGCAGAGGCCGATGACCATCGGCGTCGCAATAAGGGAACCTGAGGAAGGCAATGGATCGCCGAGGGTTCCCCAGCCAACACCCCAATCTCCTCAAAAGACCCCTCCGCCACCTCCTGAGATGGAGGTGGATCAGAGAACTCCCGAACCTAAGGGAGGGGTCCAAGAAGAAATCAAGGAGAGTGCTGCTGAGCACGAAAATAAAGATGCCGTGATGTCAAGTGCTGAAGGCTTCACGGCAGATATCGCAAGAGAGGTTGAGGCTTTCGTCCTCACCCCTGAAGAAGAGGAGGTCATAGTACTTGACTCCTCTGAGAAGGACGATGCTGAGACAACCAAGGCTAATCAAGCTCCATCGTCGTCCTTCCCTTCTTTCCAGACTCTGCATTCTGGAGAAATGGGTTTCTCGGCCCCCCGAATTCCAATCCCAGATCACATCTGGGACCTCATATGGGGTCAAAACCGAGAAGGAGCTGCAGCCTACTTCGGCAATTTTGCTGGCATGTCCGAAGTAGACAGGGCAAGGATCTGGTCGCTGAAGGCCACTGCTGGGATGGGCGAATCCAGTAGATCAGTTCCTGACCCAGCCAGGTCTAACCAACTGCTGATGATGCAGGTAATTTTCCTTCATTTCCTCCGAAATTCAGCTCTATTTTTTTTCTTATTACTTATTTTTTTTTTGTCTTCCTGTTTTCAGTTCGTGCACAACCAGACTCTCACTGTAGAGCTGATAGATACCCTACAAGATAGGGTAGACGCTGCTGTGCACGAAAGGAAGGTGGCTGAAGAGGAAGTTAAGCTTGCTAAGCTGAAGCAAGCAGCAGCTGAAGAGAAGCAGCAGGAGGTTGAGGAGTACGGTAAAAAAGCTGCCGAAGCTCTGAAAACCTTCTGCGATGCTATGGAGATGGAGGTT